TAGCAATGCTAGCATAGCTATGTTGACCAGTTTTGGGTTTCTGAAAAGGAGCGGTGAGCTCCGGAGGTGTTCTGGGAACCCTGGTGGCTAGGGACGGAGTGACCGAACCCGAACCGGTGACGGTATGCTTCCCCCCACCGGCCTTACCGTGCTTCCCCCCCAACGGCCACTTTCCCTCCAACAGGATGTGAAAGTGGTCGTTCCTATGGCAACACAGTGATGCCTATTAGCGCTATATAAATAAACTGAATTGAATTGACGCTGCATATACTTGGCTGTAGCTCTGTGACGCAGGTTAACATAACATCAAGCAGTTGCCATTTTCTTAAAAATAAATCTGTCCAGTAACATCAAACTATTTTAAAAAGGACGTTTCATGTAGAGATTAATTACTTTTTTCTTTTTCTTAACTTGTTATTTTCTGTCAGTGTGATTTTCTGAGCCTGCTCTGATGCAGACTCGCTATTTAAGGGCTAAAGAGTCCACTGGCTGTATCCACTGCGTGGTTTGGGAGGCCCTTAATGTGGCGGATTAGTGCTCAGGGTTAGTATTCAGGGGGCGATATTATTAGTTATTTTCTGCAGGTCTGCAGGTCAGTCATCAGGATTAAATGTTATGGAGCCTAGGCAGAAGTTCAACTGAATAAACTGATTACTTACCCTCATCCACCTCCGACACCAGCTAATCAGCTTTGAACCACACCTCTAGGAAGCCAAATCAGCGACCAGAGTTCTTCTTAAAAGGTCTCCAATCCACAACTCCGTTTGCTACCCAAAGTGCAGGTAGCAGATGAACCCGATTAAACCAACCTCCAGCCCCTCCTCCACCATCGTAGCTAAAGCTTCATCAGAGCGTCATTCCTCTTACTGCGTTCCCTGTCTCATCTCAACAGGTCAGGCTGAAGACCACAATGTTGAGCCTGATTCTCCCAGAGGTTTCTTCCCAACAGGGAGTTTTTACTCCCCACTGTCGCTTCATGCTTGCTCATCATGGACAGGTTCTCTCAACCTGTGTTATCCAAGCTGGACTTCCATCTTCCAGGTCCCTGAGTGAAGCTCTAGTATCAGCTCATACAGTCCACTGGATCTCTCCAAACAGCTACAGCAGACCGTCTCTTCAACCAGCAGTCTACAGACTGACCAACTCCATCTATCTCCACTCCACCACCAGTTTGAGACCTGGGGGGAAACAGTCCTGTTCTTTACTCCATATCAAACAAAATTCAGCGCTAATGTTTCCTGCTGAGGTTATTGTATCAATAAAATTCTTCTGATAGAAAAAAAAAATCTTTTAATTGTCTTTTTCTTTCTGTGAGTTTTCCAGATTAAACTGCAGTCCAGCCTTAGTCTCCACAAACACCACAGCCTTCTCTCTTTGTCAGCTTGGCCAACTTAGATCAAAAATCATAAATGTAATTATTTTCTTAGGATCAAAAAGGCCAGAGTGGCAGTACAGGAGACGGCCTGATTTAAAAAGAAGCAGCAGTGTTGTAGTAAATCTGCTTTTAGGCATTTATCTTGTATTCACTCATTGGCTGGAACACATAACTTTGTGAAACCATGATAGAAATAGTTATCAGATGTACAGAAACAGAGAATCTGTTTAGCAAAGTCCTGTGGTCTATCCACTGCTCTGTTATCACTCAGACTTTTCACGTTAGTATTTCATTTAAAAGTTATTTTAGTTAAAGAGAACTTTACCAGAAAAGCTGAACTGGTGAAACCTGAATTATTGGTTTGGTTAATCTTTTATTTTCTCCCATTTAATTTGTCTATAATAAAAATATTACAAAAATACAGTTGGTATAGAAATATTGTTTCTACAATTTCTATTGTATTGTAGAAAAAATGTTTTAAAATCCCCCCAAATTATCAATCTAACATCTGACTGGGCTGCAGCCAGTCTGTCCTAATCTGTTTCTCTCTAAAATAGTTGATGATGAACTGCGGTCAGTAAGTTCGTGTTTATTTGCAGATTCNAGAAAGACGTTGAAGAAAGAACATGAATATTGTTCCAGGATTAAAGCTCCGACATTCAGGAGATCTAAACTTTAAATATAGCCAACTTTAGTTTTTATACATATCATGGTCATAATTATTTATATGTTGGTAAATCTAAAAATTACCAAAGAGAACAACCAGAATCATCTGCCTTTCATCCATGGCGATGTTGATCTGCATCTAAGTGACAGTTTCACAGGTTTCATACGGTGAAGATATGTTGCAGATTTTTCCGTTGAAGGAGATGTAGAAGCTGATTGGCTGCTGGAATGGAACATTTTGTTCTGAGGTTTTTCTGGGCGGGCTTAAATTCATGATGGTCATGTTTTAGGTTTTGAGGACCTGAATGCAGAGACCAGGTGGCAGAAGTGAGACTTGCAGATTTAAAGGGGTCATAGAACGCAAAACCCAGTTTCCACTGTCATAGATGAATAACGATAGTTCAGTGGGTGAAATGGACGTACAGAGAAGTTCAACCCCCTTCAACACCTCCGTTCTCTGCAAATCTCACAATTCTAAACTTCAACCATAACACGTGTGAATTCAAAGAAAGCCCGGAGTTGATGTAAACTCAGAGATGTTACCTTATGTGTTTCTGGTCTGTACTTTTGTCACGCCCTGAAATTGACATACAAACCAGGCCACTGGTTCACTAACC